ATATCTCCATTAAGATGTGTAAAATGAATTTTACTAGAAAATTTTCTAAGTTTTGTGACTTTCTCAGATTTTTTTTTTCATGAATTTGAGACATTTAATTCTTTCTATATCTCCAGCATGTTCTGAGCATTTACTGAACTCAGTGTTTTTTCCATTAGCTGCAGTGCCAAGAACTTTATTGATGAGCAATTGGTATATGGCCTCATGGAATTCTAAAATGCTCTGTAGGCATTTTAATATACTTATTCTTCAAAACTGATTATAGAATCAGTTTTCAGATACTAGTATTGTTCCAACAATACCTACAATGTATTTCTTACATTTAAAGGTTCTTTTGTGATACCCAAGAATGCCTTTAGAGCATGTAGGTGTGTTGTTGATAATAATGATGGCTTCTTTTTCTCAAACAGATGTTCTCCGTTGAGTGTACCACATGGGAAGAAAAAAGCCACAATTATACGGAAATGTAATTTGTTTATTCTTCCCTCCACCTTTGTTTATTCTTCCCTTCATTGCATGGGGTAGATTACATAGCTTGCTGTTAACACAGAGCTCTGTAATAGAGGAAAACTCACTGATGAGCTCTCAGTCTGCTGACCATTTAAAGGAAATAGAATTAATATATCAAATAGAATCAAGATTCAAGGGATTTAATGACAAGATTCAGAAAGGGCAGTAAAAGTCACATTAAAAAGACATGTAATCTCTGGAGGATCTTTGAATTTCATCTACAGAATAACTTCTACACTATTTAGCTTCCTCTTCAGCTGGAATAAAGAAATCTAAATATATTTGTTAAAATAGCAAAGCTACGATGGTGAGGTTGGCAAAAGGGTACAGTAGAGATTGAAGGAGGGTTTGAGACTGTGGGAGGAATCTTTGTAGGTTATTTTTTGTTAATAGCAAGGTGGCTCTATGACAAATCATAAAAATTAATGCATGTTAATATACCTAAGAAATTAGGATAAGGAAAGACCATATTCTTGAGATATATTTGATATATAAATAGCAACTAAATGTCTTTGTATGAGTTTAATACTTTTCTCAACATAAATTATACATCTAGTCACCTTAAATCACTTTTAGAAAGGGTTTGGAAGCACAAATAAATGTATTTTTCCTATGTATATTTTCTGGCAAATTACTATCATCCTTAATCCACAGATTTCATATCAATAAAAAAATACATGTGGTTCTCTTTATATATATTATGCATAATCACATATTTTGAAGATGATTGTGGCAGCAAGCATAAATGAAGGGAAGTAAATTACAAAAATAACAGAAACTATCCATAATCATCTGTATCCTGGTAAGAGGGACTCAGTGAGTCAATTTCTTTATCAGTGGCTTGAAGTTAGGAGAGTAAAGTGGTATTTATAAGAACACCCATTCCTTGGGTTGCATTATGTACTATTTTCACTGTTAACTTGAGTAGATATAATTAATAGTATGATTCAAAAAAATAGTAAATCCAAATAAATATTTGAATCCAAATAATACATTGAAAAAATACATCAACTTTAAGATAATGTCATGTAGCACATTCACTGTTATCTTCAGTGGGCTTGATATAAATGTTTATTTGAATCTAATAGAAAATCACATTATAACTAGGATCTACTATAGACTGATATTTTAAAAGCTATGCAAGGAATGTTTTAAAACACTATCCTAAATATCACTACATTCAACACTTGGTACTGTACACTGCATGTTTGTGCCCCCTCCCTCCATCAAATGTATATATTGAAGCTCTAACCCCAAATGTGATGGTATTGGAGGTGGGGTTTCAGGAGTTAATTAGGTTTAGATGAAGTCATGAGGGTGGGGCCCTATGATGGGATTAATGTCTTAAAAAGAAGGAAGAGACCAGAGCTCTCATGTGCTCTCCGCCCTCATGCTCCTTCTCCCTCTCCCTCTTGCACCTTCTCTTCCCCTCTTTCTCCACATGTGAATACACAATGAGAAGGCAGCCTTTTGCCTTCTATAAGCCAGGAAAAGGGACCTCACTAGAGACACCAAATCTGCTGGCACCTTGATCTTGGACTTGTCAGCCCTCAGAACTGTGAGAAATAAATGTCTGTTGTTTAAGCCACCCAGACTATGGAACTTTGTTGTGGCAGCCCAAGCTAACTTAAATAGTTGGAATCTGAAAAGTGTTTTGACTAAAGCCTTGGCTTTGAAAGTTTATGAAGCAATTCATGAGTAAATATAATAAAAACTCCAAAATTTGGACTTTTCCCAGAGTTTTAGATTGTATAATTAGGATGTCAGCCCAGAGAAATAAATACTACTTTATTGTTGTTTTCTCTGAACACAAATGCAGTATAGCTCATTGAGAATTCTCACTGAGCTGTGGTAAAAGCACTCAAGGGAAGGTTCTTAATAACACTCCCCAGTCTGTTGATGAAACCCTCGGTTTGAAATCACAGGGACAGGAAATAAGCAAACATCCCTGCCTTCCACACAGGAAAGCAACCCAGCTAAATTGTACACTCTAGGAAAGGCAAGCCTATATTTTTGCTTTAATGTATCCCACAGGTGCCTTGCAATGATCAATGATAGACAAAATTGTGAATAATGAGAAAAATTTTGCTACATTGAAAATTACCTTTGTTGAAGACAAATACTATGTATGACTCACGAGGTTTCCAATGTGAGTTGACAAATTTATATTTTGAAACAGATGAACAACAACCAAAAAATTATCTCTATGTGCCCTAAAAAGCAAGCCAACTGAAAATTAGGATGGCTTATTTTAATCATTTCTTAATGATTAACTAATATTAGCTTATTCTTCCAAATTGCAAATTTTGACCAGTGAAAAGAGTAAGAAAGAGCAATTGTAGACACTCATAGCTTTGAATAGGAAGTCTCTCAATTCTGGGAATGAATACAAAAGGAGGTAACAGAAGACTGGTCAACAGCGGGAAAAAAAAAAAAAAAAAGAGGTGGGTGGTTATTAAAGATAAATTTCTCATTCTTACAGAGCTATCCATGATTCTGGTGGTCGTAAATGCCATCATAACCCCGGATTATGTATTTCAAATGCAACATTTGTCTGTACTGATTTACTTTATATACTTTTTATTATTTGTTATATATAATTTATCATGCCTCCTATATTATGTACCTTCAATTAGGTATGTAATTAGCTACTTATTAAATACTAAATGAATGGATTTGAGATATTCATCAGTAATTAGTGACTTGGTGTACTTTGGGAGCCGGTGTGGCTGGAAGATATTGTGAGAGAGAAGGGCTCTGAAATTGAATCTAAAAAATAATATTCAAGGTACTTGGCTATCTCCATAGAAGAAATAAAGAAACGTTCTAGTGCTATATTTTTTTCTACATGTATAAGTTTGAAGATGATGATTAAAAATACAATACTAAATTATCTTTGATTATATTGAGTGACTTTAAAAAAATAGCCAAGCAAGTTCATAGCAACTTAAAAGTTGCTATAATGCCTCTTGGCTATTGGTGGCAATTTGTTATTTAATTGTATATTCTACAAATCCATATAAAAATAAAGAATATTATTAATAATTATATTTCCAAACACCAAAGCATTATGTAATGCTAAATGTTATTATCTAACTAAAAATAAATAAATTATATTGGACAGTGCAATCATGAACATTGTCAAATGATTTCCTTCCTTCTGTTCTGGTAACAGTAAAGAAAAACAATATAATGAAATCACTGAAATCTATGTCAAAAAGTATATATGGAAAACAAAATCTATTTTAATCTGTGAAGAAATAAAATTTTAAAAATTTAGATTATAGTAAATTTTTAGGCAGAGACTGAAGATATCATGAGAACTTTTTAAATGTTTTTGAAAATGACATGTTTACACATAACAAGATAAAAAGTTGTCAGTCATTCAGTGATCTGGTTTGAATTTGTGTCCCCAAGAAAATCTCATATCCAATTATAATCCTCAGTGTTGGAGAAGGGGCCTGGTGAGAGGAGACTGGACCATGGAGGTGGATTTCCCCCCTGCTACTCTCCTGATAGTGAGTTCTCACGAAATCTGATTGTTTAAAAGTATGCGGCACCTCCCACCTCTCCCCTTCCTCCTCCCCCAGCCACGTAAGATGTGCCTGCTTCCCCTTCACCTTCCACTATGATTATAAGTTTCATGAGGCCTCCCTGGCCATTCTTCCTATACAGCCTGTGGAAATGTGAGTTAATTAAACCTCTTTTCTTCATAAATTACCCAGTCTCAGGTAGTTCTTTATAGCAATGCGAGAATGGACTAATGCATCCAGTTGTCAGTTTTAACTCTTGGGTCACACTCTTCTTTGGCAGCCTGAATCTAGTAATGAGTGAGGCTACAGTATGAAGGCCTGATTATTTTGACTCAATGCAGGACATTCTGATGGACAATACTTACTTTAGAGTTCCTCCTTGCAGAGGTGACGAAGTTTGTTAGACTGCAGTTTAAAATCTTCTGCATAGTTATTGTGAAATTCCCAGGTATTGTACTGTATTGTATACGTACGTGAAAGTTTGCTTAACCACTTGTCTGTTGCAGGACATGTGGGTGATTCCCAGTTTTCAAGCTATTACAAATAAACTATGAACATTTACATACAAGTCTTTGTATGGATGTATGCTTTCAAGTTTTGGCAAATTTGAAAAATTTTCAAGTATCTGCTACAAATAGAAGATACTTTCATCTTGAAGATTGGAAATATTTCAAAAATTGTTAATTTTTATGAGGATGTGTGGGGTATAAGGAGCCGTTTTTCATATTGATAGGACTTAGATTGTTAGTACCAATCGAAATGGAAAATTATGGTCATCCTTTGTCCCAGAAATTCTCCATCATTGGCTATACTACTAGGAAAATTACTTAACTTCTATGTGCTTCTGATTCTCATGGGCAGAAAGAGAGTAATAATATGTAGTACAAATTTCATAGGTTAATATGTAATTCATTATGTTATAGTGATCATTAAACAAATCAATTCATAAAAAAAGACTTACCATACCAAAACTTTTATTATTATTTTTACTATTACTTATGAAAGTCTGTTCTTCAGAAACATTTTGTCAGATATCCAAGGAATGTATTTTTAAGCATGTTCACTACAGTAATATTGTAATAATAAAAAATGGGAGACTACACAAATAGCAGATAAAGGATTAAAGAAATTTTAGCACATCTGTGGGAGGTAATATAGAGAAAGAATGGATGTGGGCTCTGGAGAAGACATGGCCTGATTCCAAATCCTACCTCAGCCCTATGAGCTCATGGGCCTTGGTCACTGTGTCTTAGGTTCTTTAACTATAAAAATCATGGTAATAATGCCCACTTTACAAGGGTTATTGTGAGGAATGAGACATCACATGTAAATTGTTTAGAAGAGAAACAGGGCATAGTGAGCATCCCATAAATTGTAGTATTACACAGATAATGACTTACCCTTTAGAAGAAGAAGGGCAGATCTGCAGGTACTGCCATAGAAGAATACTTATTAGAAAAATACTGTTTCCCCCTTATAGATGTTGTGTGGTGGTAAATGATCCACTCATATATTCTTAGACTTGAGTGTACATGTCCAACTACGTGTCACTTACTATGTTATAATTAGATAATTATAGGAAGAGAACAATAGTTAAGCATATTTCAGATTTTCAATTCAACTTGCTTAATTTTGATTCTGAATGAAAATCTTAGTATGGAAAATTGATCAACTCAACGTAAAGAGTAAAAATAAAAGTTTACAAAACCATTTTCATTTTTTGAGTAATTTATTGAAATTTGTGAATCTAGAAAATGTATGTTATATATTTATATAGAGGGAATAACAAAAGTTAAGTGTTTTATTGGAAAGAAAACTGACTGATAATATGGTGTAATTACCATTTTATAATATTACTTTACATTGCAATGATTTAAAATGAAGAAATAAAAAGAGGAATAATTATGCTAACAAATTCACATTGTTTCATGTGCCACTAAATTTCTTTAGGATCAAGAACTCCTTCATATTCAGACATTAAAAAAAATTCAAATAATTTTATAAAATAAACAGACATACAAGTTTACTCATATTAAAAAAAGAAGTTGGTTTTCTTTTCCTGTAGAAAAAAACAAAACAGAGCAGATGTGCAAGCAAAGATAAATGAAAACACTGGCTATTTCTCAATAAAGGTGATAGTCTGATTTTCATACTAACTTATGTACGATATAGTAAGTAACCACTAAATGTAGTCACAGGGGGAAACTTGGCTGGAATTGTTCCTTTCGCAAGTCGTAACCAGACTTCCTGCCCATAATTTAATTCTAATAAGGCATCCCCAGTTAAAACCCTATCACAGTGTATTTCACTGTTAATATTTTCAGACTCAAATGCAAGCTTGTCTATTCCATCAACCACTAAAAATCCAGAGATATGAGCACTGAATGACTCGATGGTATACTTGAAAACATATACTCCAAGATATGGAATTCTAAATTTTCCAGTTCTTGGGGTATATGAAGCTCCATAATTGACATCCAAGTTATTAAACAGGATAGGACCAGGTGTAGTCATTCCATATGTATGAGATGCAAAAAATGCCACCATAGGTGCATATCTGTAAGATCCTTTGGAAAAATCTGTTAGAGGAAAAAATGGCAAGAGTTAATTTTCATGTTTTTATCTTATTTTGTCTTTCCTTATATCTTCATCACTTTTATCTCAGTTACAAAAAGTCTTAGCAGAAGAGAAAGGCCATCCATAAAATTTAGCAAAGGTGCATGTGTCTCGATGCCTGTCTCTTCTCTTGGGCAAATTACTCTAAATTGCTTAGCCTCTTGGTGCCTCAGTTTCTCCATTTAGACCAGGATACAATAAAAATAACATTTGACACCTTCCTCACACAAATGCCTCAAACATAATTTGCATGTTGCTTTGATCTCCCGAGAGATAAAGGAATTCAAAGCACTCTATGATTATTATGGTTATGTCAGAATGTTTTAAAGCCCCTTGCAGGAATTGAAGCTGACATGATGTAGAAACAATTTTTCCGGCACCTTGTCAAGCAGTTTCTAAAGGCTAAAACGAAAACCATATAAAGTCATATTCACTGTAGCAAAGTAGACAAAGGCAATTTTCTGTGTAATTAATGCCAATTGTACTTACAAAGGCTGAGATCTAAAAACAGACTAAAAAAATTTGCATTTCACTATGCAGGATATTATTAAGAAAAAGCTGATTTGAAATAGGTTTTTTTTTGCAGTCATTAAATAACACATTTTTATGCTGCACATAAGTTTCTGTATAAAAATCAGAAATGGTGCACTCTTGAAGTAAATCCAAAGCACAATACTTATGAATTTAAATAAATAAAAACGCCATCTTGTTTTACTTAATACATTTGAGCATGTTCTACTAGTTCTCACACAGTCAAAATGGTACCATTAGTTTAACCTTCACAGAAAACGTGTTACTAAGCATGTATTAAAGCCTCATTTAAATGACCATACCAGACATAAATCAAAGATGTATTTCTTTAACTACTTGTTTGAGGAGAAAGTGTTTCTATCAGTCAGATATATACATCCATATTTTATTAGGATGCACAAGAGAAAAAAAGTTTTTGAGAGGGTGGAATTTTTCATAAACTGCCTCTATATAGCAATATTGAAAATTTCAACAAGTTCATGTGAATAAGAACTTGCCTAACAAAAAGACATTTTCACTTGTAAATCAGGTACATTATTCAGTAAGTTTCGGAAAAGTAAAAGGAATTGTCAAGTAGATCCAGATTAAGCAGGCTTAAATATTCATTCATAAATATTCTCAAAAAGTGTTTCTATTTATGACAATGAGCACGTCCAAAGATGCATATAGTATTTTTTACCTGGAGCTAAAGCATTTTCTTCCACAAGCTTGATAGTGCAGTTGTCACCAGTGAAAGGATGCCTGCAGGCACAGGTAAAGCTAGTTCTTCCATTTATACATGTGCCCCCATTTTGGCACGGATGCCTACTACAGCTTGAATACTCCTCTGTTACTGAAAAAGAATCAAGGTAAAAGAGAATAAAGTGACCTATTTTCCTGTTGATCTCAAATCGTAGTTTGCATCAGAATAGGAAAATGACTGAATTTAAGTAAGAAAAATGGGCTCCACAGCCCAGGATGCCTGTCGATCTGGTCACAGAACGTCATGCAAATCCCTCAGCTCTGATATCTCCTTCAGTAAAGTGGGCAAAAATCTGGGATCCATTACATTTATTGGTGTGAAATGTTAACATTCTTGTCAACTGCAGAACAGAACAGAATTATCTCAATACAGATCATGTATATTTGAAACTGGTATGTGATAAAGGTAATGCTTTAAATCACTGGAGAAGAAAAATATCTATTCAATACACGGCGCTAAGCTGGTATTTAATATATATAAAAATATAAATTCCACATATACAAAAATACTAAATATAAAAAATCAATATGATTGCATTGCAACAAAAAAGGAGAATATCTTTCTAGAGCTTTGAATTTTTTAAAAATTCTCTCAAAGCAAAACAAAGCAAAGCAAAGGAAAACAAAACCCTGAAACCATAAAAGAAAAACATTATCATGTTTGACCTAAGAATTAAAACTAGTTTGCATTGAGAACTACCATTCTCAAAGTTTAATAATAAGTTACAAATTAAAAGAAAATATTTTTAGAAGACATGGCAATCTAATGACTAATATTCGTAACATATGAAAAGCTCTGAAAAGAAAAAAAAAATTCTCCCCTTAAAAAATGGAAAATGAGGCTGGGTACGGTGGCTCACACCTGCAATCCCACCACTTCAGGAGGCCAAGGCATGAGGATGGCTTGAGCCCAGGTGTTTGAGACCAGCCTGAGCAGCATAGTGATACCCCATCTCTAACTTTTTTAAATAAAAAATAAATAAAAATAAGAAAATGGTCTTCACTTAAAGATCAGAAAAAAATAAGTTAAAAAATGGATAATGTATCAGTAGGCAAATCATTGAACAATACCGACAAAATCTCACTAAAAGTTTTAAAGCATATGCAACCTCATTACTAATTAAGAAATAATAAATTTAGCAATAATAACATTATTTAAATATCAGGTGGCAACATTTAAAAAGATGGAAAATATCCAGTCATGTCAATATAAGGGAACATGGGCCTTTTCATGCAATTCTGGCTGGAGTGTAAACTGCTGTAGCTGTTAATAGGACAATGTGACAATATTTATCAGTATTAAAAAGGTTCATTTACTTTGAGCCAAACATTTCTTCTGTCTGTATATATATACTCCAGACATACTTGTCCATGTGCACGAAGACAATTTTTCAATTCAAAATGATATCATTTGAATTCGTGAAAAATTTAAAGACTCCTAAATGATCACTGATGCAGAACTTGTTAAATAAATTATAACATATCCCCACTGAGGAATATTAGACAGCAATTAAAGAATGAGGTAGATTCCCCAACAGGTTTGGTTTACTGAAGACAGAAAGTTACAGCTCACACATTACATATAGAATAATTTCATTTGTTGTGAAAGCTTCAAATTACAAATATGGTTATAAAGATAATACATAATTATGTAAATGCAGAAACAAGGTCGGAAGAATTCAGCGCTTACACTACTTGCCACAATTACTCTGGTGCCACCTTATGGTAATGATGTAGTTTACCATCCACTTATTTCAAATCAGGTGATTGTTGATGATTTTTAATTTAGAAGTTATTTGCTTTGTGCAATATTTTTCTCATGAAGTGAGATTTATAAATTTCTATATACATTCTATATATCTAAATTTTCATATACATTATATCCGTATAATTGAAATTCACATAAAATGTGACCAAACTGCATGCCTGTATTATTAACATTTTTTGCAAAGCAAATATATTAATATTGCACTTATGTAATGAGAAATTAATCAGAATTATATTGATATATTCTCTGTAATATTCTATAAACTATTATTCCTTATTAATATTTTATAAACTAATATTCCTTATTAAGAAAAGTATTAAAACTATTACGTGTGTGCAACATCTTTTAACAAATATTTCAACTGGCTAACATTCCTTTAACCTCATTTTGCTGCATGTGAATAGAGAACTTTGCCTATTATTTTCCTGTGTCAAAAACATCAATGACTTTTCATTACCTGTAGTAATGTGAATATTTTGTATCAAAGCATTTGCTTCATTTATTTTTACATTCTCTGAATTTAGCATAGTGATCAACCCACAGGAGAGGTTTCAATTAATGCGTTTTACTAGGAATGTATCAATTGTGCAGTAGAATTGGGGGACACTAACTTATTTATGTAATTTGATCAGCTCTATAATTTTAATTTTCCCAAATTTAAAAAATCACACTCACCTGTAACCTTGGCCCTGTTCATGAATCAGGGATCAAAGCTGTGCTATAAGGAGAATTTAAGAAACTGTAGAAAAGAATAGACTTATCTGCATTGCTATTGGCTCTATTCTGAATCTTCAGGATGAAGGCTTCTGCCTGCTATTTAATGTCCAGGAGCAGCATTCCATTTTTTGCTTCTTTATGTTCCATTACTTTAGGAATGGGGTCTTGCCTTGCTCTAGTTCTTTGAGTTATTTCAGAGGGTACTATTTTACCCCTTTTTCCAATTTCTTTTTAGGGTCATTCATCTAGAGGAGGGCTCCACTTAAGTTTAATTGAAGGTCTGCATCTACTCCTGCTGTTACAGTAGCCCAAACTTCTTGAGACTGCACACAGCTTCCCTTCTAGGACATCTTTCATGGTGCCTACTGACTCTCTGCCCAGGATGCCTCAGCCACTTGTCTGTACCTGCTTCGACTGCTTCTGTTTTAAGTTCCTTTCTGTGCCTTTTTTGCTATTTTAGGTATGTCTGGACTTTCCAAGTCTCTGCCAAAATAATCACATTTTAGTATATAAAATCATGTCCGTGGCACCCAGAACTGGACATATTGCACCAATGGAGCCTAAGCAGAGTACGTTATGGTAGCAATTGCTAGTTACCCCTGCTGAAATGAACTTACACTTCTGTTAAGATAACACAAGCATTAAGTATTCATTGTCCATTTCTGCATCTGTATTACACTGTCTCATAACAGGTCTCCTGTGCTTTGATATATTGAAGCTTTCTAAAATCTCATGTTTATTTAATTCATTTAAACATGAATTTACAATTATTATTGATAATAAAATTTATCTTATTAGACATGAGTTACCATCTCTGTCCATAGAAACCATTCAGTTTTATTCTGCATGAGATGTTTCAGCCACCCTCCCCATCTTTGTTATTATTTCCAAATTTATGTCTCATGCGTTCCTCCAAGTTATTGATAAAAATAACCACTAGAAAAGAAATACCTAATGGATTAGCGACAAATACAGAGCCTTATAACAGACAACTGAAGATTGGCTGGCACTGATTTTTCCAACTGAAGCTATTTGTACTTTGTTATACAATGAGTTAGAAATCAACTTTTGGCTGGGTACAGTGGCTCATGCCTGTAATCCCAGTACTTTGGGAGGCTGAGGCGGTCAGATCACCTGAGGTCGGGAGTTTGAGATCAGCCTGGTAAAACCCCATCTCTACTAAGAATACAAAATTAGCTAGGTGTGGTGGTGTGTGCCTGTAATCCCAACTACCCGGGAGGCTGAGGCAGGAGAATTACTTGAACCCAGGGGGCGGAGGTTGCAGTGAGCCAGGATCACGCCACTGCACTCCAGCCTGGGCGACGGAATGAGACTCCATCTCAAAAAACAAAACAAAACAAAATCAACTTTTGTATACCACCTGACTTATTTTTCTCCTTTATTATTAAAATACTTAAAAAATGGTCAGGTGCCTTTATAAGTACCTACTCATATTTGTGCTTAATAGGCTACTTGTTATTGAATTACCAACAAAAATCAAACTCCAATAAAGCATCATTTTCTTTTTGACATCTTTCCTCATCCCTATGAGTAAATTACTTTAGTTCTCTCCATTTCTGCCTGATGCTCCAAAATCGTCTTCTTGAATTTATCACACTCAACTGTAATTGCTCTGGTGTCTTTCTCACTTCCGACAAGAGTATGAGGTCTCACGAGGTCAGGGATCATGTTCTCTATTACTTAAACTTCATATCAACACTTATTAGCATAATGCCTGACATATAGAAAATACTAGTTTTAAGAATGAATAGACAAATTAATAAAAGATGGAATAGAATGCCACATTCTTAACAAATTTCAACCTTCTTCCCAGTTTCTCAAAGGTCACAGAGTTTGACAGTATGTTATCATTGTCATGTTATCCTAGACACATGAATCTATTTATTTATTTATTTTATTTTTGAACTGGAGTCTTGCTCTGTCATCCAGTTTGGAGTACAGTAGCGTGATCTTGGCTCACTGCAACCTCCGGCTCCTGGGCTCAAGCTATTCTCCTGCCTCAGCCTCCCAAGTAGCTGGGATTACAGGTGCATGCCACCACAACAGGCTCTTTTGTATATTTTTAACAGAGACAGGGTTTCACCATATGGGCTAGGCTGATCTCAAACTTCCAACCTCAGATGATCCACCTGCCTCAGCCTCCCAAAATGTGAGTTTACAGTGTGAGCCACTGTGCCTGGGAGTGAATCCATTTCAGCAAACTTTCCACAACTTCTCTCCTTACTTTTCAATAACCTCTTAAACTCCTTCCTGTCCATTTTTTTTTTTAATGGAGATCAGTGCAATTAGGTCAACAGTTCTTCCAATTCAACATTCTACCACTGTGCAAGTAGCATAACTGATATTTCATTTATAAGTTTCAATTTGTTCTGGTCTTTGCTTTCTGGACCCTAATATGTGCTCTAGTTATAATTTTCTATTAATCCTAGTTTCATATATCCTAAATGTTTATATTAAATTTGAACCAATTGGAGAGCACCTTACATTTTCAAAGCACCCTGTCTTTGCTAACATTTGTCATTTTTTTATTATAATTACTTGATTAATGTATGAGCTTCATCAGAAGAGGGGCTGTGTTGAGTTTA